CCAAGAAATCAATCAAAGATACTCTAATCATGCTGCCAACATACACAAGTACCATAAACTTATAACTAGAGGTGCACCGAAATGCAAATTTCAAAACTGAAACGAAACCGAAATTTAAAAAATGTCAGACCGAAAATGTTTTTATTTTCACTTTTTAAAATTTTTTCAAATATTTTATTTTTATTTTTTTTATAAACTTTTTTTTAAATTTTTTAAATATTTTTATTCATTTTTATAATTTTTTTTTACTTTTAGGGGCTTCGGGGAAATATTAGGGGTCTAAACAGACCCCTGATATTTCCCTTTTTAAAATAGAAAAAGAGATTGAGAACACAGTCCTCAATCTCTTTTTCTGCAGCCCCTGTTATAAATGAACAGGAGTCCTCTATACTGAGTGTTCCTGCTCATTCATAACATGAACGTGCTCTGTTGGGCCTCCTTACACTGATTTCTGATCCCTCAGCTGTCATTGCTTGGCTGCAGAAGTCAGGCAATAGGCTATTGGAGCTTGATCTATGCTCAAATTGTTTTTTTGAGGTGGAATGATGACACTCTGATGGCACCTTAAAAGAGAACTATGGGGTTAGGGCTTTTCCCCATAGTTCTCCGAAGGGTAACGGGAGGACACAAACTATTACCCAATTACCCAACTATCGTCCCATTACCCAAAGCTCAGTATAGCTCGCTGTATACTGAGACGCCGCAGCTGAATTGGATCCCGAAAATTATGTCTGGACCCGCCCAGCTGTGTGAGTGACAGCTGACTCTGCCTATCTAGAGGCAGAGCCAGCTTTACCCGCCCCGTCCGTTCCGCCAGTCAGTGCTGGAGGATCGGACAGGGGAGGGGAGAATCCAGTCACTCCCCTGTCACGGCTCTCTGCAGTGACAGGATCGAGAAGTGAGCGAGCGCCGTTATGTGTTAGCTCACTTCCCGATCTACTGAGCGGACCTGTGACAGTTTCATTGTCATTGTCACAGGTCGGCTCAGATTGAGGCTGAGTGAAAGCACTCACCTCATAATTCTCCTTTTAAGCAGTACCTGTCATCAGTAGTATGCTATTTCACAGGGGGCTTGTAACTCTCCTGTGTGATAGCATATCAAATGCGCCAGAGGGAGATCAGTAAATCTAGGGCCAATATTCACAGATATCTCTAAACTGATGACCTTACAGGCTTTTAAAGCTTCGCCTAGGGACAATTTGGGGTACCGTATTTTGTCGCCGTTTAACAGATTTATATTTTACAAAAAAAAGGGCATTATATTGTGTTTTTGGGCACTAAAATGAATTTGCGATTTTTTTTTTTTTTTTTTTACAAATGTTTTGGATGTGATAGAGTAGCGCTAATATTGTGCGACGGAAAAATTTGCAATTGATCAAAATTGCAGCCTTTTGATCGCACCGCGGCAATGGCAAAATGTAGTTGCGATCCCGTGCGGGCGATCGCAGTGCGGCCGGAGGGCGTGGCACGTCAATGGCCCACCATGCCCCCTCCCGCCATGCCTCCTCCTGCCGGCTCACTAAAAAGTGAGTCGGCCGCAATGCGAGGCAGTGCGTTCTGGCCAGAATCGTGCCGGAACGTACTGCAACTGGTGTGAACGGGCCCTTACTCTTTTGGCTGTTTATTTTTGGAAGCAGCCATTGCTGAAAGAGCTGTTTCCTAGACTTGTATGCTACCTGTTGCTCCAGCCTCAGGTAGTGCTGAGGCAATTCTAAGATTAGGGTGTAACTCCACTTTAGTTAAACAAATTCTCCCAGGTGATCTGTGTACATTGCAAACGTTGCTGCAGATTTCTACCTTTTATCTGTTCAAACAAGTAAGCAGATTGTTGCATCATGTTCTAAACAAACTGATTGCTGTTAAGCTGCCCATACACCTGACAATTATCGTACGATTATCGCGGGTGATCCCGCGATCGTACGATAATCGTAAGACATATGGGCAGCGTGCGACCGCATTTACTCTATGGTCGTACGATTTTCGTATAATGCGCACAGTAGAATCGATCGCAAGATGAAAGCCGCACGACCCGAGGTGCGCAAGCGCACACTGCTCGCTCACCATTGCAATCATCTGCAAGCCCTCCCCTCAGCGTGGCGGACTTGCGATGATCGCAAGTACGATCTGCCTGTCCATGATGGGCAGGTCGTAAGAAATTTTAATCACCTAACAACCATCGCACAACGAAAGTCGTGCGATGGTTGTAAGGTGTATGGCCATCTTTAGGGATGGTCTGGTTCATTAAAACCATCTTGTGCATTTCCTGTTTGTTAATTAGGAAATCTTCAGTGTCTGCATCCCTTTAGAGGTAGTTAACCCTTAGGGAATGTCTCACTAGAAGACTTCTATTGCATTGGATTCTGAACATTTTTTTACTTGCATCTCAATGCAGACTTCTGGAAAAAAAAAAAAGTAAATTATACAAACAGTGGCTCTGTTTATAATGGGAAGGTGGTTTTTTATAATGTAAGATTACAAAATGTTTTTAACAAGTGGGTTTTTTTTCTCTTAAATTATCATCCTCTTTCTACCCTCCTGACACATTTAGTTAGGGAAAGGAATATTGAGTGGAAGCTGCTGTTCCTTGGATACATTTCCAGTAAAGGCAAAGGCGTTTTTTTGGAACCTTGTCTACCTAGATTTAACTTTCTAGGCTTACCCTGCTTAAAGTTTTCAGGTTTCAGGGCAATATGTACAGCGGTCCTCTCCAGATCTTTAGGTTTTAAGTTCTAGTTCCACTACAAGCCTTGGGCTTTGAAAACTTTTCTAGCAAGTCCTTTGCAGATTGTTGCTGATCAGAAAAGTTAAAACTTCTGGTGGTCGCAAAAGCAAACAGACTTTCCCCTACATAAGAGTGGGGGGGAGGCACTCCTCTATATAGGGGAAAGTCTGTTTGCCTTTGCGACCACCAGACGTTTTAACTTTTCTGATGAGGGTTTAGAGCAGGGGTCTCAAAGTACTCCGCTTCGTGAGCCGGTACTATGTGGCCCGCAGCCAGCTGACAAGTCGGGCACACGGTCACTGACAATGCCACCGCTCCTCTGAGACTCAATTCTTATCTGCTTGGCAGCGCAAGATAGGACATTCCGTTGATTCTCACTGCACCAAACTGGCCCAGGTGGACATAGTACTTGGACCTCATCAGACTCTCCATGGGCTCTCCCAGATTGCCTGGATCTTTTGTTCCAATGACTGTTTTTTCAGGCTGGTTTTTCAACTTGATTTCTCCAACCCGGGGCCTAAGGGATAGGGGCCTATCTAATTCAGTTATTCCTACACTCCTCCAAGGTCTATCACAATTCATCTCAGTAGTAGTTCCCAAGCTTCAATGCAGGGATATTTTCATTCCAGCGAGTTCTCCTCCAAGGAGCACATCCTGACTTTCTTCCAGTCAGGTCTGGATCAAGACTAGCAGGGTTATTCACAAAAGGGTGAAGGGTTTGGAGAAGACAGGAAAAGTGAACAATCTAGGACAACATAGCTGATTAGAAAAAATTATCCAACTCGGATCACTTTCCAGTTCAGCTATGTTGTCCTAGATTATTCATTGCTCCTGCCTTCTCCAAACTCTTCACCCTCTTGTGAATAACCCTGTTGAACTTTAGTACTTTCAAAGACCAGATCTCAGCTAGCTTGTTCGGGTTTTCCTAGCGTAGTTCCGCCAGCACAGTAACCTGTGACTACGTGTGATGTTATCCTGATCCTGTCGACTTTTTTTTTATTTCGGCTTTTTTCTTTTTCCTAAGTCATGACATTGTACTGCTTTTTCTCTGTCCTGCTCTAGAACATTTGAGAGAGAATCTCCCCCCAATCCCCCCAATGCTGCTTTAAGGACTTATCTTAAGTGATGCCCCTTGATCCGATCATCTTCTATCCAGTAGTTTTCAGCAGTCCCCCCAGCGCTGGTGCCAGGGTCTGATCCAGCACAAACTGCTGTCTCTTCCTGTCCCACGGTGTCTGTCCGGCGTGCACAGTCACGGCTGCGTGCATTCCCTTACAGTGAGTCTCTCCTCTTCTCCATGCCGAGGATCTCCACTGCGCATGCGCCCGCACAGCCGCTCGAGAAGCTTGATTTTACAGCTGGGAGTGAGGGGCGGAGACAGAAGTAAGTTTTTACCTATTCAGTTACTTTTTATTTTTTTAAATGTTTTTGCTTATAGCTATTGCTTGCAAGCAGTAGATATATGTAAAAATGTTTGACTTTAATGTCACTAAGTGCTTGTTTTATGCATGTGGTCAAAAATAAGTTATACTCACCCGGTCCTTGGAGCCGGTCGGCTGTCTCAGTGCTCCCTCCTGCTGGCCTCCTTCTCCGCTGCAGCAATGATATGTCCCTGGGTGTCCTCACGTCCTGTATACTGTGTATAGATTGTGATGACTCGGGGACCTTAGACCGCTGCACAGGAGGGGGGAGACACGCTCTAGGGACCAGTCTAAGAGCCGGCTGGTTGAACTCGATGGACTTGTCTTTTTTCAACCTGACTAACTATGTAGCTTGAAGGATCGGATAAGTATAACTTTTTATTCTTTTTTGTTTTTTTTGTTTACCTTAGCCAAAAATGAGCAATTAACCCTTGCCCCACATCAAGGTTTAATAAAATTTTTATCTGGAGTTCTTCTGTAAATGTGCACAGTCTCAGCGCAGGTGTACTTTCAACACATTGGGGGGGAATCTATCAAAACTAGAGCAAACAGAATCTGGAGCAGCTGTGCATGGCAACCAACCCTCAAGATTGAAAATAAATGAGATAAGCTGATTGATTGCTATGCACAGCTGCTCCAGATTTTTCCTGCTCCAGTTTTGATAAATCCCTCTGTGTCTTCATTTGGGAAGTTAGCCATTTCCAACTATGTCTTTTATAACACTGACTGGAGGTTTTGTGCTGTTGGGGCACTTTAGAAACAGAAATTACAGGTTTGCATTACAAATGTTTCATTATGCTGAGTGACTATGCTTTCAAAATATTTAATGTCTAAATTATTCTTAACTGTATACCCAGAGATGAAATTGTTGTTCACATACAGAGGTCAGATCAGGCACTGTTAAATACTCACCGTAGAATTATTTGGTGCCCCTACATTCCTGAAGAAAACGAAGAGATGCCAGCAGAGGATGCCAGTCAGACTGTTGCTTTGTTGCATGAGGATAGGGTAAGATTTCCTTTTTTTTTTAATTTTTATTTTTTTGCAGCTGAATGACATGTTGGCCCATGCACAAGATGTAAAAATGCTGAGGTTTTTTTTAATAATTACTTGATTTTTTTTTTCTGGATCTGAACACAGGTATATAGTTTTTTGTTGTTGGCCAATCCACACAGTGCGTAAAGATCAATAAACACATTCAGATGTGTAAATTCAAAGTAGAGAAATCTGCATCTGAGGTCCTGTGTATGGGATCATATTTTACATTGTATGCATGTAAACATTTGTGCTAACATGTGTACAGCACAAATGCACTCTATTTGAACCCCTTGTGTTATAGGAAGGAAGGACACCAGGTGGTGGAAGCCATTTGAATGGCACCCCAAGCACACCTTCAGTGCACACACTACTTTTCTTTTTTTTCTGCATTTTGGTACCTTGTGTTGCGAAGCGGTCGGTCGGTTTGCTGCTCAAGGTGAACTTGAGTTGCCATTCAAATGATTGGCAATGCACCTACTGCACTGTATCACATGGTAGGTGCATTGCACGGTAGCCTGTGGTAATCACACTGAAGTGTGCGATTAATGCATTGATGTGGTGTGAATGGGCCCTTTAAACATGTACAGAATTTCTAACTCTTCCTCCTTCATCATCCCCAAATATATTTTTTGTTACCGTCGATGTTGGAAAGATTTTCCATCGCTAGCAGTCCTACCTGTGTGGGGAAATCTCCCAACAGGGACAACGATGACAAGAACAACAGAGACAAAAAACCTGATAGAGGCTGTAAAATAGAATATGGATTGAGTTGAGCTTTAAACAGGGAAGGTTCTGGCTCTGACTGTAACCTAGTAAAATGCATGTGAAATAATGGTTTTACTGCTTACATGATTGGTTTGCTGCATCTTCGGGAATAATATACCACAAAAGGGCAAAAAATTGATGGTATGAAAATCAGTGGAAAGCAAAGTGTTTATCTCAGCTCTGAGAGAAGCACTCTTTAAAATATTTAATCACTGAGTTTTTCTCTCCCGTTCATTGAAGAACACAGGGCAACAGATAGTAGATCCTGTACGGTATATCGCCACCTGCAGGAGAAGGATGCTAAGCACATAACAAAAGACAGACAGCCTAGGGGCGGCACCTGCTGGTGGCCCAACCCCCCACCTGCTGACAAGTCTCCAGTTTTTTGCCTAGCGTCAGGAGTAAGGAGCTAAAAAATGTTCTCTAGAAATTTTTTCTGCTTCCTCTATTTTGTTCGCTGTTTCTTCAGGCAAGTGTCACCAGGGCGACATGCTGGATGAACGTAGATCCTTGTAGTCTCCCCTGCGTGGCCGACGAGTGCATGCAGACACTGCTACAGTGGGTCAGCTGTGACATTGATTTCTCAACGCCTGTGGGTTCATCCCGGTGGAGGTGCATATGACTGGGGGTCTTGGCTTTCCAGTCACAGCACTCCATTCAGGCTGGCGGCGCCGCGACTACGGTCGGGGGCGTTAGTTTCCACGCCTTTTCACAACGCGTCCTGGCTGCGGACTGTTTGGACTACCATTGCCCTGCTGTGGTATGTATGTGGAGAGGCCGTGTGGTGAGACTCTGCCTGCTGATTGGTGGTAAGACGTGTTCACAACTGGAGCTGCACTGTCCCCACAGTTGCACTCTCTAGGCTGCCTTCTCCCTCCTCTCTCATGGTGTTCGTCTGAGGGCCCTGGTGTCAGGCCTTGTGTGTGGGACGGGGTCTCCTTTGGGGCTTTTCTGCCATTATGGGAGGTGTGGGGCATGTTGTGGGAACCTGCCTGGACCCGGGCCGCAGTGCTGGAGCAGTTCTGGCGCAGCCACTGCGGGTGTCCGATCGGCGGCTGCGGCCACTAATCAAGGCCCCAGTCTGGTTGCGGCCTACGGGCGCGGGCGCCATTTAGGTTGAGGGCAAGTGCCCTTTTGCTGATGTCTTTCCCCTGGGGCTCCCTCTCAGCGTCGGTCGTATGGGGCGTGTCTTCTTTCGGCCTGGAGACGCTTCTGGCTACAGTTGTCCTCTGGACGCCAGTGTACTTGCCTTGTGGGGGCTGCGGCCTGCATTCTGCGGACCCTTCTCGGTCTCACCTTTTGTCACGTCTACGTCCTTTTGCTAGTCGCCTTACCTCCCTCTGGGCTCTCAGTGGGGGGGGGTCGGTACCGCGGCTACCCCGCTATCCCTGAAATTTTTTCCTCCACCACCGATGGTTTCGTGTCACGCATTGAACGCGCATTGATGCAAAGACTTCCTAAGAAATGTACTCTGCCGTTGACGTCTCCTGTTATCGAGGGGGAGTCCGAGGGGGAACTTCCCACGGCACTGCCTCGGCCTGACCCTGGGGGATTCTTCCCAACCAGTCTCAGCCGGTGAGGATGAGTCAGCAGCTGCGCTCATGTTTCGGGAACGTGTATTGGTTTCTGCGGTGGTACGCGCGGTCAGGGAGACCCTTCAAATTGTGAAGGCTTACAGTTTTTCCAGTCCACGCTGCCGCTGATACTATTTGGGACGCATGTGATTAGGCGTCCCGCCAACGTTTTCCCTTACATCTCCCTTTTGGATGACTTCCTTTATGAGGAGTGGAAGCAGCCTACTAAGTCCTTTGCGGTTCCTAAGCGTTTTCTCTGTTTGCTGTTCCCTTGCGGAGGCGTTTTGGTCTAGGTGGGCATCCCCGACTGTGGTGGGCTACGATTATTCCGGTGGAGGATTCCCTGTCCTTTCAGGACCCCACCGATAGGAAGGCTGAGGCGGTTTCGCGGACTATGTACTCAGTTCCGGTGCGCTTATGCGTCCGGTTTTGGCTTCTGCATTGGTCTCTCAGACTCTGACGGAGTGGGCGAAGATGTTGGTTTTTGTCTTTGGCTTAAGTGCTGGTCGGTTGACCAGGCTTCCAAGACAGCTCTGACGGAGCAGCCCTTTACCGGGGACCGCTTATTCGGTACCTCCTTGGATGAAATTATTAAGGACGATGGGGGGGGGCGTGTAAGAGTACCTTCTTACCTCAGACTCGGAAGAAGGAACAGTGACACAAGCCTGGTCCCTTCTTTTCTGCTCACAAACGGCCTCCTCCCAACCTGCCAAGCGTCCCTGGCAGCCTAAGTCTGCCAAGTGCGCCAGCAAACCCTCGTCCGCATGAAGGTCTGGCCCATCTCTAGGTCCCAGGGGGGGGGGTGTCTTCAGCTCTTTGCGGATTTTTGAGTGGCTCACGTCTCTGACACCTGGGTGCCGGAGCTGCTCTCTTCGGGTTGCAAGATCGAATTCTGTCCCGTCCCAGGAACAAGTTTTTCCCGTCCAACACATGACTTTCCCCTCCACGATTGGCGGATCTTCACCGCGCCAATCTTGGCCCGGGGGTGATCGTGCCGGTTCCGTCCTCAAAAAGGTTCAGGGCTTGTTTTTCCAACCTAAGTAGGAGGGTGTTCTGCCCCTCCTGGACCTCAAACGTTTGAATACTTTTGTGCTGGTCTGTCGGTTTCAGATGAAGTCGATCAGGTCAGTGGTGGTGTATCTCCGTCAGGGGGATCTTCTGGCCTCCATCGATGCCTACCTTCATATGCCCGTTTGTGTCTCATCAGCGATATCTTCGTTTCGCGGTGGGGGAAGTGCACTTCCACTTTGTGGCTCTGCCTTTCGGCCTAGCGTCGGCCCCGCGGGCGTTCGCCCCACTTCTGGTGCTGTTGCGTTGCCGGGGATCTCGATCGTGGGGTACCTGGATGATCTTCTGCGGGCGGAGTCATCATCTTCTCTGGTGACGGCTCTGGCGGTCACGATGCGGTCCTTGGAGGAGTTCGGATGGATCCTGAACTTCGAGAAGTCTTGTCTGGTGCCTTCTCCACGACTGGAGTATCTGGGCCTGGTTCTGGACACTGGCAACCCGAGTTTTTCTTCCTCAGTACAATATTCTGAAACTCCGTTCCAGCGTGCGTCTGTTGTGGACTCGCCGGATCCAGTTTTTGCATGGTGGCCTCCTTCGAGGCGGTGCCCTTTGCACAGCACCGCACCTGGACTCTTCAGTGGGACATCCTGTTACAGTGGGACAAGTCCCCCCATCACTGGACAGGAAAATTCGGGAGGCGAGGGTTTCCCTGCGGTGGTGGCTTTAATCTCCAGCCTTGGTGCGGGGGCAGTCCTTCCTGCCCATGCGCTGGACGGTGGTCACCATGGACGCCAGCCTTTGGGGCTGGGGAGAGGTCCTGGGCCCCTGGACAGCGCAGGGTCGTTGGTCGTGGGAGGAGTCCCGTCTGTCAATAAATGCTTTGGAACTTTGGGCGCTAAGCCTATCTCTCCTTTATTTGTCGACCCATCTTCGGGATGTGTCGGTTCGGGTCCAGTCGGACAACGCCACAAGTTGGGAGGTTTCCGGGATTCTCTCCAGGGCGTAGTCAGGTTCTGGCCCTCGGCGGTCTACATAACGGGGGTGGACAATTGGCAGGCCGACTACCTAAGTCGCCGGTTGGTGGAACCGGGAGTATGGTCCCTACACCCGGATATTTTTCATCGCCTCGACTCAACCGGAAGATGGAGAGGTTCTTGGATCCCTGGGCGGAGCCTGTGGATGCCCTATTGGCTCCCTGGGAACCTTACGGTCTTGTTTATGCCTTTCCTCCACTCTACCTGTTGCTTGGGTTTCTGCGACGGATCGCGGCCAAAAACACCACCGTCATACTCGCAGCCCCAGATTTGGAGAGCGTGGTACGCGGACGTGGTTCAGCTAGTGGTGGACACCCCGTGGGGGCTGCCTCTGTGTCCGGATCTTCTGTCCCAGGGGCCTGTGTTCCATCCTTTACAGTCGCTGGCTTGACGGCGTGGTTGTTGAGAGCCAGGCCCTAAAGGACCGGGGGTTGTCTGATGCGGTCATTTCCACGATGCTCGGGGCACGCAAAGCAGTTTCTAGAAAAATATACCATCACACGTGGAGGGCCTATTTTGCCTGGTGTGAGGCTGGGACTCTGTCTCCGCGTTTGTTCTCAATCAGCAGAATTCTTGCCTTTTTGCAGCA